CAATCACATAACACTCTCAGCCAATCACATAACACTACCAGCCAATCACAAAACACTACCAGCCAATCACAAAACACTACCAGCCAATCATGAAACACCCTCAACCAATCATGATACACTCTCAGCCACTATCATACAACAGCATGCCAACAAACAGCCAATCACAGCTGACCTTTTTAGCCATGGCCTCTGATTCCTCTAAGTTTTCAGTGTTTTTCTCGTACGCACGTCCAACTTTTGCCACAAAATCCTTTACGGTCTCGCACAGGACTCTGAAAAATATACAGTTAAACATACACACACACACAAATACACACTAGTATTCATGAATATAGTACACACTTGGCAGAGGAAATGACTACAGAGTGCTGATCGGATGTCAGGATTTTGGAGAGATGAGCAGCAACAGAGTCCTCATAGGTCAGAATGTGCTGCACCTGGAACAGAACAGCCAATCAGAACAGAGGATACGCAAAGCAGCCAATCAGAGCATAGCAGAATACCACATGCTGAGTGAAATACTAGTTTAATAGTAATTAAATAAATTTTTCAAGAGTTCACACTTAGATAATGCTTGACTATTTAAGCAAGATTGGCATGCTGTCCCAGGAGATAAACCTGAGCTCGTTGATTGATGAGTCAATAAGCATTAGGAGGGATACGAGATCAGATAGTTCTCCATAGCTTCCCAAAATAGACCGCTAACTGCGCTAGTTTGAAGTAAGTGCTTGTGACTTTAACTTTTGTTGCATGGTTTTTGAGTGTGGGAGGAAACCGGAGCACCCGGGGAAAACCCACGCGAACACTGGGAGAACATGCAAACTCTGCACATAGAGTATCGGTAGGCTCAGCTAGTGTTGAACCAACGACCTCCTTGCTGTGGGGCAACAGTGCTAGCCACCGAGCCACCGTGTCGCCCGAACTGAGGAGGAGGGAGAAGGGATGGATGGGGGGGGGGTTCCAAAACGAAGTTGAGGAATGAAGTTTAGGCTGGATATTTATATTGAATTTAGAGTGATCCAATTGGCTAGTTAGTGATTAGTGATAGGGATCAGCTGTAGTCAATCCTATCACGTGCTCCTCTCGAAATTAGTTTAAGAAACTTCACTTATTTATAGAGTAGGGGACTTTACAGAAAAATATGTTCATGTAAATATGTAGAATATATAGAATTTAAGGTTGAAAAATATATTTGTTGCAATATAAAACTCAATTAAAGGTGCAGTATGTAAGTATGACACCCAGTGGTTGACCTAGGTATTGCACCCTAGGATCAAAACACATTTTCACTTGGTTCCTCCTCTGATGAGCCCACGCAAGCGCAGGCTGCCAGATTGATGTTATCGAGCCTAAAGGCTAATTCAAGGCTGATTTGAACAATTTTCTAAACTAAAAAGCAGCGGCACACGATAGAGGAAATATTCCACATACTAAAAAGTAGGGCTGTGCAATTAATCGTAAATCCGATTTCAAATTTTGGCTTCAAACGATTATGAAAAAGCATTAATCGAGATAAACGATTGCATCATATACCGCCCCCTTTCCAGCTGTACACATTTGTTGCTCTTAAAGCGCGAAAGACCGCATGCTTATGTGTGTGTGCGGCCGGTCAGAATTCGGTCTCATTCGCACACTGAGTCTCTTAACTTTCTTCTGCAGACAATCAAAAAATATATTGCTTAAGGGGGCTAATAATATTGACCTTAAAATGGGTTTCAAAATATTTAAACCTGCTTTTATTCAAGCCAAAATAAAACAAATAAGCCTAAAAGAAAAAATATTATAGGAAATACTGTTAAAGTTCCTTGCTCTGTCATTATTTGGGAAATATCTATTTAAAAGGAGCGCTAATAATTTTGACTTCAACCGATGATCGTTTTGAAAAATCGTGATTACAATTATGACCAAAATAATCGTCATTATGATTTTTCCCAAAATCTAGCAGCCCTACTAAATCTAGTTTTTGTTCTTACCAACACCTGAAATTTACATCTTAGAAACGGCTTTAATTTCTCACAGCTGAACAACAGGATAAACTGACAATGATCAGTTCAGGTACAGCTCATGTGCTTTATTCAGTGTTAAATGCTAGTAATGTGAGACTGTATGCCATTTCACATCACATTTATACTGAAAGCAGCAGCAGATAATTCACCTTAGATCTAGAAATTAAATAAAACATCTGAAACTAAACTTCAGAACTGTGACTCAGAGCAAACCAACACATATCAGTGATTCAGCATCTACATTTAATCATGTTGAAGAGGTTTAATGTGTATTATTAGATTATAAACCTCACCATTTGGCTGGAGTGCAGTGAGTGCACTATTCTGTGCTTCTGAATGGCTGTGTTTACATTTCTGTTGTGTTTCATCTGGTGCAAACAGCCAAATTGCTCATCACTGCAGATCTCGTCAGGTAGCCTGATGTTAGGACACGGGGTTACAATGTACCCTGCTCAGCTAATGTTTACGCTCGTAATATTTATATTATTTGCTGATTAATAACCACCTCATGTGGAACTCTGAATCTGCGTCTCATTTCAGAGTCTGCCACTGTCCACCAGAGGTCACATTTCAGTCACAGACACATGTTTTGAGAGTCTTCATGACTGACTGAATGAAATACGCTGTTTTCCATTAAGGCAACCCGGGTGCTGAAATATAATTGGCTAAACTGGCAGTGGGCGGGTTAAATGACCAAAACAAAGACAGCCGTTCCAGCACGTAACGCACATGTTCAAAGCAGATATCTGACTTCAGCATTGTGTTTCAGATAAATATGTTCACTGAGCATGTTTCTGAATATCTGCAAACATATGATGGTGTTTTATGCTTTAGAAGAGTCAAAAACTCTTTAATATATTTAATTAGCTGTCATTCCTTTTATTATTTCATTATTATTATTAAATCTTGTGCTTTCAATGTATATTTTAATTACAATTTTGTATGTTTTAATAACAAATTTTAGCGTATCTATTCCACATTTTTTCATAAAATATCAATTAACAGCTGAGAATGAACACGTGCTGGATTATAATGAAGGCCGTCTATGCAAATATTTGCAGTGAACATCATCACCGTTACCTCTGAGTCATCACTACAGTCCTCCGTCACCGTGGAGCTGGAGTGTTGCCGCGGTAACTTGGTCTCATAAACCATAATGCTCCACCTGGAAGAAATGACTGTTTAAATATTTGTCGAGGACGAAAGCGGAGTGAGAACGACTGCGAAAGCCACACAAGCTGACCTGTCCAGCATCTTAGTGCTGGCTCTCTCCAGTTTCTCCAGGATCTGCGGTAGCTGTGTGTCATCATCGCACGCCGATCCCCATCCCAGAACTCTAGCCAGGTCATTTCCCGTGCCCAGAGGAAGAACACCCAGCTGGCACTGAAAACACACACACAAACACACACTCTTAGGGCCTGCATTCACATTTGATCTACCACTCACAGCTGAAGTCAAAAATATTAGTGATTTTCTTGTTTCTTTGTCAAATATTTCCTAAATGATGTTTAACAGAGCAAGGAAATTTTCACAGACTTGCCAAATAACCCTACTTGCATAATTAACCTAGTTAAGCCTATATATGTGAATTGAATTCATGTGTACTCTAAATGCAAATGAGCTGCTCAGCTATATATGAATATGCATACCTGTTTGTGTAAAGTCAGCGCGTCTATCTCTGACAAAACCCAGCCGACGCTGCCGTCTCCTCCACACACCAGAATACGAAACGTGTCAAACTTCTGAAAAAGACGCAACCTACGACAAATACATACAAAATCACACAATGAGGTGCAAGAATGCTGAGAAATATCTGTAGAGAAAATAATCTTATTTTCTATATCAAGTTGAAATCTTTCTCTGGCCCCACTGATATTTTAATCTCCTATTTTTATCTTTATTTTAAGTATAAAGTCCCTTCATTAGAACTTTCTGCAAAAATGTTGTCTAGACAGGCTGTTCAATTAGCTCTAGAGTATAAAATAAAATAAAATAAATCAAATCAAATTAAAAAAATAAAATAAATGAATTAAAAAAAACTATTTAAATTAAATTAAAAAATAATAAAACAATAAAATAAAATATATAACTAAAACAAAACAAAAAGGAATACAAACCCAAAACTTAACTATTAAAATCAAATTCAAAAAACAAAAAATAAATAAAAAACAAGTGAATTTTTAAAACAAAACAAAAAAGCAATAAAACTAAAAATTAAAATAGCATAAAATAAAAAATTTTAACTAAAACACAAGTAAAGCAATAAAATTAAATAAATTACAGAAATAAACAAATTAGTTACACAAAACAAAATAAAAAACCAATTCAAATCAAACTGAAAAATTTTAAAAATAAAATAAAATAAAATAAAATACAAAAATAAATAAACAAAACAAAACAAAAAGGAATAAAAATATGTTTAATTAAAAACTAAAAAATTAAAACAATAAAATAAGGAAATAAATAAATTAATTAATTCAACAAAACTAAATTAAATAAAAACAAAAAAACTATTCAAATCAAACTGAAAAGTAAAAATAAAAAATTCAATTAAAATAAAATTAACATTAAATTAAAATAAAATAAATACATAAAAAGGAATAAAAGCACAAAAAAACTATACAATCTACCTGAAAAAAAATAAATAAATAAATAAATAAATAAAACTAATGAAATATTTAAAAAAATACTACAAAATAAAAAAAAATACAAAATAAATTAATTAATTAATTAAAAAGAAATAAAAACACAAAAATTATATATATATAAAAAAGAAATAATTATAATAATAATAATTATAATAATAATAAAACCAAAACTAAAAACATTCCCTAAGCAGCCAACTAAACCAAATAAGCTAGTTTACAGCACTAATCTATAAGTGGTGTTGTGCAGATTAGTGTTATTTACTAAAAGTAAGTTTTACCCCAGATGTGGACCGCCGTTCATCAGGTCAAACACCTGCGCTGGATTCAACAGCTGCTTAAAGCGGCGCAGAAACTTCACACCCTGATTATCTCCACTTTTACTGTTCACAAACACCAGCAGTGGACTCGTGCAGGTCGGGGGACAAGTCGCTTTCCAGAAACCTACAAACACACACCCATATATATGAGAAAAAGAGAGAGAGATGTTATTTCAATATAATTTATTACCCAGCTCTCAGGAATATTTTTTACACTGGTTAAAAGTGCTCTGATTGGTTGGTTTGTCAGATGAAGCGCTCTGATTGGCCACTCACCGTCCGAGTCGATGCTGTTGAGGGCTGTGGGTGGAATCACAGAGACTTTACACTGACCCAGAGGACACTTTGGAGAGAGCTGATCTTTACAGCCAGCATGCACCTGGAGAACACACACACACACACAGCTGAGTGATCCACTGAATGCGCTGTACTGTCTATTATCAGAATATAGACGGCCCACACACACTCACCATGGCTTTACACCAGAGACAGCGCCAATCCTGCAGTCTGAGGACGCTGCCGCAGGTTTTATCACACACTGTACACTTAGCACTGACCGGCAGATTCCCCTCCAGCCACTGATGAGGCATCGAGATCTGTTCAATACAGCACCAGACATTATTACACTGACATGACATTAACAACACTGACACTTATATGCTGCTGATTCATGCAGTGGAGTTGGTATCAAGTGAACTGTTAGAATGTCGCTAAGCGAAAAGCAATGATAAGCAAAAAGTAAATGACAGACACTGCAGAATCCTTTTCTAATTGTGCATTTCTCATATATTAAAAAACATGCAAATCACAATAGATTTACTCGAGAATACTCTTTTTTTTAGAGAAACTGAATGAAAATTAAGCAAGCTTCTGCATAAAAACAGGTGAACAAAATATCTGCCTGTTATAAAATAATATGTTGGTTTTCCCTCGTTTTGAAATCTTGCTCTGACCACATTGACAGATTGAAGTATTTAAAAATAAAATAAAATAATTAACATCAAACAGAACAAATAATACTAATATATAAAACTGAATATAGAATAAAGTAAAATAAAATACGGAAAAAAGACACCAAATAAACCGAATAAAAAATTGATAAAGTAATATAAAGCAAGAAGAAAAGCAAGAAAGAGATGAAAAATATAAAACAATTCAAAACAAATGGATTAAAATTAAAATTAAATAAAACAAGTAACAGTAAAATTACACAAATATTTAATTAAATTACATTAAATAAAACAAGTAAAAATAAAATGACATACAAAATGAAATAAAATTAAACCAAATAACATTAAATAAAATAAGTAAAAATAAAATGAAGTATACATGTTAAATCAAACTGAATAAAATGACATTAAATAAAACATGTAAACATACAATTAAATAAAAATATTAAATTAAATTAAATGAAACAAGTAAAAATAAAATGAAATATGCATATTAAATTAAATTGCATTACATTAAATAAAACAAGTAAAAATAAAATGAAATAAACATATTAAATTAAACGGAATTAAATTACATTACATAAAACAACTAAAATAAAATGAAATAAAAATATTCAATTCATTTAAATAACATTAGATAAAACAAGTAAAAAATGAAATAAAAATATTAAATTTAATTAAGTAACATTAAATAAAACTAGTAAAAATAAAACTAAATAAAAATATTAAATAAAATTAAACAACATTACATAAAATATTAAATTAAATTGAATAACATCAAGTAAAAGAAGCAAAAAAATGACATAAAATATTAAATTAAATTACATTAAATAAAACAAGTAAAAACAAAATGAAATAAACATATTAAATTAAACTGAATTAAATTACATTAAATAAAACAAGTAAAAATAAAATGAAACTAATATTAAATTAAATTGCATTACATTAAATAAAACAAGCAAAAACAAAATGAAATAAACATATTAAATTAAACTGAATTAAACAACATTAAATAAAAAACGAAAATAAAATTAAATAAAAATATAAAATAAAATTAAATAAAATTAGATAAAACAAGTAAAAATAAAATGAAATGAAATATTAAATTAAATTACATTAAATCAAACATGTAAAAACAAAATGAAATAAACATATTAAATTAAATAACATTAACTAAAACATAAATAAAATGAAATAACAATATTAAATTTAAATAAATAACATTAAATAAAACTAGTAAAAATAAAATGCAATAAAAATATTAAATTAAATTAAATAACATAAAATAAAATATTAAATTAAATTAAATAACATAAAATAAAAAATTTAATTAAATTACATTAAATAAAATACTAAATTAACTAACAATAAATAAAACAAGTAAAAATAAAATGAAATAAAAATATTAAATTGAACAACAAAATAAAATAAAACAAGGAAAAACATTTTTTTTATAGAATTTTTTGTTATAACTAACAGTTTAAATGAAATACTATTTAATCTAAACCATTAAAAAACTCACTGAATTTTTTGGTTTCCTTCTAACAATACCAGAATAAAAGCTGATGTGTTATGGTGTTTGTTTGTCTCACCCCATCCTCGTCCTCCAGTATGTCTTTGCCGATAGAGGCCAGTGTGGTCCATTTGCAGTTATTGGTGGCTCTGACCGCACAGCGCTTATGAGCCTTGAACTTACACACTGTTAACATAAAACACACACATTCAGATATAAAACATTCACAATAACCTATGATGATGATGAAAATTATAATGATGGAGGAGACGGACCTTCGCAGGAAAGGCCGTGAGACGTGACTCCAGAAAGAGCCTCTCGACAGACATTACAGTAGGTGGGCCGCGCGTGGGAACAGGCGTACCAGTTGTGCATCCCAGAGAAATGATCCATACTGAACTGAGTCGACTGCACACGCGCACGCACACACACAAACACACACGCACACACACACACACACACACATTCAAACAACACAGAAAATGATAGTTTAGAATGTTTTCAAAAAGAATGTGTTCCTTCGATCTTTCTGATCATCAAAGAATCCTGAATGATCAAAGGATATCATTCATTCATTCATTCATTCATTCATTCATTCATTCATTCATTCATTCATTTTTGAACCGCCAACTGTTCCGGCTAACCCAAAAATGGACTAACTAAAACTTTGGGTTAAATTTGGTTCTATTCTCTTCATTGGCAACCACATACCCTTCCCGGCCACTTTATTAGGTACACCTTACTAGTACGGGGTTGGACCCCATTTTGTCTTCAGAACTGCCAATCTCCCGTTCCACCACATCCCAAAGCTGCTCTATTGGATTGAGATCTGGTGATTATGGAGGCCATTTGAGTACAGTGAACTCATTGTCATGTTCAAGAAACCAGTCTGAGATGATTCACGCTTTATGACATGGTGTGTTATCCTGCTGGAAGTAGCCATCAGAAGGTGAGTGCACTGTGGTCATAAAGAGATGGACATGGTCAGCAACAATACTCAGGTAGGCTGTGGCATTGATACAATGCTCAGTTGGTACTAATGGACCCAAAGTGTGCCAAGAAAATCTCCCCCACACCATTACACCACCACCACCAGCCTGAACCGCTGATACAAGACAGGATGGATCCATGCTTTCATGTTGTTGAAGCCAAATTCTGACCCGACCATCTGAATGTGGCAGCAGGAATGGAGACTCATCAGAGCAGGCAACGTTTCTCCAATCTTCTATTGTCCAGTTTTGGTGAGTCTGTGTGAATTGTAGCCTCAGTTTCCTGTTCTTAGCTGACAGGAGCGGCACCCGGTGTGGTCTTCTGCTGCTGTAGCCCATCCGCCTTAAGGTTGGACGTGTTGTGTGTTCAGAGATGCTCTTCTGCAGACCTCGGTTGTAACGAGTGCTTATTTGAGTTACTGTTGCCTTTCTATCAGCTGGAACCAGTCTGGCCATTCTCCTCTGACCTCTGGCATCAACAAGGCATTTGCTCCCACAGAACTGCCGCTCACTGGATATTTCCTCTTTTTCAGACCATTCTCTGTAAACCCTAGAGATGGTTGTGCATGAAAATCCCAGTAGATCAGCAGTTTCTGAAATACTCAGATCAGCCCGTCTGGCACAGACATCCATGCCATGTTCAAAGTCACTTAAATCCCCTTTCTTCTCCATTCTGATGCTCAGTTTTAACTGCACCAGATTGTATTGACCATGTCTACATGCCTAACTGCATTGAGTTGCAGCCATGTGATTGGCTGATTAGACACTTGCATTGATAAGCAGTTGTACAGGTGTCCCTAATAAAGTGGCCGGTGGGTGTGCACTGATAGCAACAATAATGAGTGATCTGTGGTGTAAGAGTGGAGACGATCAGAGATTCTGAAGCTGACCTCAAAGTGCTCTCTGTTCTGAACACTCTTGAGCGCCGCGATCCACTCCTCCATTTCTTTCCTGTTTTCTGCACAGAGAATGAGCCGACGACACGGAGTGATCACCTGCGCACACACACACACACACACACACACACACACACACACACACACACACACACACACACACAGAGACAGACAGAGAGAGAAAGAGAGAGAGAAACGTCAATGCCAGAAACACAATAGATTACTGCAACTATTATAAGTGCTTTAGTCACACATAACTTTGTGTTTGTGTGTGTGTGTGTGTGTGTGTGTGTGTGTGTGTGTGTGTGTGAGGCAGAGAGCAAGCAATAAGGATTCCAGAAATATGTGCTAAACTAAGGCCAAGAAACAAGGAACACACTGTCCAACACACACAAGCACACACAAAGAAACATACACACACAAGCATACACATACGCACGCACGCACGCACGCACACACGCACACACACACACACACACACACACACACACACACACATACACACACACTCATGCAAAGCACCTAAACTTAAAAAAACAAAAAAAAAAACAAATACAAACACACACACACACACACACACACACAAACTCAAAAACAAATACAAACACACACACAAGCATAGTGCACACACAAAGTAACACACACACAAATATGTGTGCACGCACAAACACACAACTACAGGAAAAACTGACAATGATCAGCTCAGGTACAGCTCATGTGCTTTATTCAGTGTTAAATGCTAATAATGTGAGTCTGAATGCCGTTTCACATCACATTTATTGCCCCAGATCTGGAAAATAAAATAAACCGTCTGAAACTGAACTCCAGAACTGTGACTCAGAGCAAACCAACACACATCAGTGATTCAGCATCTACATTTAATCATGTTGAAGAGGTTTAATGTGTATTAATTAGATTATAAACTTTACCATTTGGCTGGAGTGCAGTGAGTGCACTATTCTGTGCTGCTGAATGGCTGTGTTTACATTTCTGTCGTGTTTCGTCTGGTGCAAACAGCCAAATTGCTCATCACTGCAGATCTCGTCCGGTAGCGTGTTGTTAGGACACGGGGTTACAATGTACCCTGCTCAGCTAATGTTTACGCTCGTAATATTTATATTATTTGCTGATAAATAACCACCTCATGTGGAACTCTGAATCTGCGTCTCATTTCAGAGTCTGCTACTGTCCACCAGAGGTCGCATTTCAGTCACGGACGCATGCTTTGAGAGCCTTCATGACTGACTGAATGAAATATGCTGTTTTCCACCAAGACAACCCGGGTGCTGAAATATAATTGGCTAAACTGGCAGTGGGCGGGTTAAATGACCAAAACAAAGACAGCCGTTCCAGCACGTAACGCACATGTTGAAAGCAGAATATCTGACTTCAGCATTGTGTTTCAGATAAATATGTTCACTGAGCATGTTTCTGAATATCTGCACACATATGATGGTGTTTTTATGCTTTAGAAGAGTCAAAAACTCACATACAGCAGCTTTACTATAATAAAAACACAACAGCTTCATGCTCACAGACCAAAAATACAATTACAGAAGACTCACTGGAAGACCAACTTTTCAGCTGCCAAACCTCAAGTATTCAAAGGCCTAAAATACTCTGTGTGTGTGTG